CTTTATACCTATACTGTTAGATTTAATATGAACAAAGGAGGGGGGGGAACAGATACTACACTCTATTTCTTCATTCTTATGGTTGTTACAGGCTTTATTAACCTATATTCACTGTAGGTAGTAGGCTGCTATCAAACAGGGAGGTACTACCACCTGGGAAGATATTGGAAGCATAATGTGTTGTCTAATGGTAGACCCTGCTGCCATATGGCATCACAAAAACTTTGACCAAGTCCCAGATTGCTTATCTGACTTTCTTCATTTACACATAATTGCAGGGTCTCATTTGTTTATCTTACTTTGACAACACAACATACATATATTATTTCTCAATATGGATATTTTCATTTTTTATTTCTTTATGGTTCTTTAGTATTATTACTATTATTATTATCAGTGTCATTAATTTAAGGGTTAATGTTTCCATCAAGGAACACTTATCACAGTTTACCTGTTCAAGCACCCTTGACATTTACTAAAGTTAACATCACTAGGTACTTACCTTTGTTAATGTTCACTACAATGGGCACTCAGTTAATATTCAGCAACACTGACCACTACTATTAACTTATTCATATAGTACTATACAGTGGGCGCTTACACATGCTGTCTGCCTCTTACTGTATACATCGTTTATATTTTCTCTTTCAATTGGTTTTCACATTCCACCAACTCCCAAGCTCAAAACACACGGATTGGTTGTTAGTGTAAAATTCACCACTTTCCAACATACATCAGTTATTCATTCAAAACTTATTTCCTTTGGCTTTCTTGGCTGTCTCACCCTGTTCAGTTTCTTCTTGGGTGGCTCCTTAACAAAACCTCTATTTTATAAGCATTTGTGAGATAAAGTGGGTGACAGTAGGTACTAGAATGAAATTATGAGTGGGGGATTGGGAAGTGAAGGAGATTGTGGGGAAATATATATGGAATACAACACAGTACCAAGAATGAACGATAAACGAGAGATTGTTAGATGTGTGCTGAAGGTTAATACAGTAGTGGGGAATACATGATTAAGTGGTGGTAGAACAACAGAGAAGGTAACTGTTAAGACCAGATGTTGGTAAACAGATTTGGCTGAAATGTAAGTTAACTAATATGGATGGATTAGTAAACGCGATATAGAATGTTCAATTGTCATTGGGAATAAATGAAATTAATATTGAATGGACGGTACAATGCTAAAGAGTTGCAAAGGAGTGTGAAGGTGCTTGTGATTAACAAGTTGAATGTATTTGCAATCTTCAAAGAACTAAATTATTAAGTGGTCACGTGAAAGTTAAGGTGAAATGGATATTCCTGAAGAGGAATGGGAGCAGTCCTAGAATATGCAGCCTTGAAGTAAGGGTTCAAGATACTGTATTAAAAATGAAAAAGAAAAATGAGATGCAAGGTTGGCAGTGCTACTTATGGAATAGTGCTAACTTTCTGCCTCATTTACATACAATTGCAGGGTCTCAATTGTTTCTCTTAACATTGACAACACAACATACATTTATTGTTTCTCACTCTTGATCTTTTCTTATTTTATTTTTTACGGTTATTTGTTATCATCACTGCAGTGTTATTATTATTATTATTATTATTATTATTATTATTATTATTACAGTGGTATTGTTATTAATATCATTATTATTACATTTTTGCCCCCCAGGCCCAAATGTGGGTCAGTGACCTGTGCCCGGGTGGGCTAATCCCCGTAAAACCAAACAAAAAAACACACTGGATATGTACTGGACACCACTGCATTTTTCATGTATTTGCCCAAGTTAGTTGAAAGAGAAAATGGGAGCACAACTGAGTTTGGGATCAGTTATATGATTGTATCCAAATACTCCAGACATAAAAAAATACGAAGACAATACAAGTGCAAAAGTAGATGAGGAGTTGGCCAAATATTAGAGGAAACTTGCAAGCAGAATACATAGAAAATTTTTAGAAACACTAACCATAAACATGCACATGGGTATACAGTCGACCCTCGTTAATTCGGACTAATAGGGGGGGAAGGGTGTCCGTTTTAGCCGATTGTCCGAATTAACCGATTTAGGGGTTAATATTGCATTATATTTCAAAGTCATTGTTTTCGTCACGATTTTATCCCACTTTCCACTGTAATACGTACGTAATTTCAGCAAAAATATTACATTTCCGTGAATGCATTATATCAAGCACAGTATGAATAGAATACCATTGTAATATAACAGTATTTTAACCAAAAACTATTAAAAAAACGAATAACATCTCAAGAACATCGGAAGCTTAGGTAAAGTCTTTTGTTTCCGTCATGTATTTTATCCTATTTTACATTGAAATACATCACGTTTCAGCAAAACTACTATTTATTTCCAAGAATATATTCATTCAGGCGCAGTTTAGGTAAAATATACGTGTGATGTAACAGTTTTTTAACTGAAAACGATTCGAAAAACACGTACCCTCTAGCCCTGTTCAAGGAGAGGACTGGGAGAAGCTGTTTGGTGCTGCAGACGATGACAAGGAAAAAGATTTGGATGAATTTTAATGAAAATATTCAGAAATATGGTATCGTAGTATTTATGCAAATCAATTAGGATAGAATATTATTGTAATACAAGTTTTTTTAACTGAAAACCAATCGAAAAGCGATTACGGTAACATCTTTTGAACGAAAGAAAGCGAAAGTCATTGTTTTTGTCACGATTTGATCCCACTTTCCACTGTAAAACGTACGTCATTTCAGCAAAAATATTACATTTCCGTGAATGCATTATATCAAGCACAGTATGAATAGAATACCATTGTAATATAGCAGTATTTTAACCAAAAACTATTAAAAAAACCAGTAACTTCTCTAGAACATCGGAAGGTTAGGTAAAGTCTTTTGTTTTCGTCATGTATTTTATCCTATTTTACATTAAAATACATCACGTATCAGCAAAACTACTATTTATTTCCGAGAATATATTCATTCAGGCACAGTTAAGGTAAAATATACATGTGATGTAACAGTTTTTTAACTGAAAACAATTCGAAAAACACGTGTACCGTGTAGCTGATACTCAACAGTTGTGGTGCGTCATGTGTCGTTGTAAACAATGGGAGGTTGAAGTAGATTACCGGGTATTATATTAAGTGTGAAATATCAAAAAGGTTTTTATTACCGGTATTTTTTGTAGATCAATGAGAACTGTGATACCGTATGATAAGATAAGTTAGCCTGTGCTAAGAACTTCAACATAGACTACTGAAAACACGTTGTAAGGTAATTAAGCCTATTGTAAGTTGGTGAGCTTCATTTGCTGAAGGAACTGCACAACTTTTCATTACTAATTGGTACAAATTTTACGTTTCCATTGTTTACTGGCAGTAAATGGTAAATATTTTTCATGTCTGAAGCTAAAAGTTGCATCCCCCCCCACACTAGTGGTGGAGATGTTACATTTGACCAAAAAGACGCTGGTGTTTTATCCCAGCAGTGGGTGGACCAGCATTTTAGCTTTAGGTCTGCGTAGGTAATATTCCAACAAATCTTAAAAAAAAAAAAAAAGTTCAGATTTTGTCCGAATTCTCCGAAATCCGGATTAAAGGGGTCCGAATTAACGAGGGTCGACTGTAAATGGATACGGATCATCCAGGAAATATGTATTCACTAGTTTACCTCAAATTTTGTACCTGAAGTTCATGTTCACTGCTATAAGGTGGAGCTGCCAAAGAACTGTATTGTACTTATTTTAGATAACTGCTCTGACATTTGGAACAATCATTAATCCAGAAAGGGCTTTGTTCTATGCTTTCTGGATTCTCGAGGTTGTGCTGTGTTGCTAAAATTATAATTATTTACTCTTGTACTAAAAAAATTTCTTTAAACTGCCTTTAAATCCATAGTGTGAGGCTTAGGAATAACATGCTTTATCTCCCTGTTCCTGATACAATAGAGAAAGTATGAACCTCCACATGTTTTGTTTGAGATATGTATGGTGGAATTAATTCACATTGTTGATTTGTCTATGAAATTTTTATCTCTACATTTTGATTTTCCTGCACGGTTCATCTCAAAATTTGCTTAATGTTTATTAATTACGTTTGACTTGCACCAATAACATAATTTTATATATTTACAAGTCTTGTACTGTATGTGATCCATCTCTTATGTTGTGATCCTTCCCCCTTCACCAGTCTCACATCCATTTTATGATACACGTACAGTATACAGTAAACCCTTGCCATTTGCAGTTTTACAGTTCGCAATTTTGATTATTTGCGATTCATTCCCTAAAAAAATAAAGTAATAAAATAGAAAAAATATTTGTTTTGAGATACAAATAAATTATTTCTGTATTACATAAACAGTTCCTTCCTTTCTTATAATCATCCTCAGGGTGACACCATTACAAAAATATATATACAAAATTTATTATTTTATGATAATATTTCATTAATCTGGCACCAAAGGAACCTAAAGAATATGGGAATTTTAGTTAAATTGCATACTGTTCTTATAAAGGGGTGGGAAATATCCATTGGGTTCAGCTCAACCACCCGCCCTACTCCTTCACAAATACATATTTTAATTCCCTTTGCTCTTCATTTTTCTTATTTTATGCTTACTGTATAGTATATTGTATGATTTCATGGTTTTATTTATGCCTTTCACCACTGTACGTGTATTTAAAGAAAAACATACTGAAATACCATTTATGGTTGTGTTTATGGGTGACTCTCACATACAATATGATGGCTGCTAATACTATTCACGGGTCCGTGGCACCTAACCCCACAAATAGCATTTTCTTGAGGACTCCTTTACTCCACTGGTATATTCCATATCCTTTTTATCCCTATATTAGTTTTCATAATTCCCATAGTACTTAATGATTTATCTATATTTCTGAAGACATGTTACTAATATCAGTGTCTCTTCAGGTTTATGCTTGCCATACAAAAGTGTTTGACTGCAGACCAGACATATATAACTATGGCAAAGAGTCTTGTGGCCTCCAATTTCCCAGGCAAGATTCTCAGCTTACTTGCTGCCATGATTGTATATCACATCAGAAATTACTCAAGGTATGCTTGTGATATATAATGTACAGTATATATGAGGTAATGCGGTCTCCTAAACAGGGGCGTAAGTGCCAAATGTGCAAATTAGAGACGGGTCTCATTTTCTATTTTCTATTTTTTGTCGATTGGTATACAGTGAAACCTCGTTAATCTGTATGCAGATGATCCAGATGTTGCTTAATCCATATCACATGGTGAGCTATGTGTCGATTCCTGGGCCTTCTACTTCTTTCCACCTTGGTTCTAGACATAGTGGTGTGTCAGATCTCAGTGCTGTTACTGCACTTTCTCCGGAACCTCCTCCTCAGATTTTACAATCTGATGTTTGTGATCAAGAACTCTAAGTGTTTAAGTGTAAATCTTTGAGATAGTGACTCAAAATTAGTGTGCAGTGTAAATAATTTAGTAATACAGTACTGTAGTTTGTGATAGTATTAAATCAACTGCCCCACACTACTGTACTTACCTTATCTGACTCTCCACTACCTTTAGGAGCCCTTTAGAATTAAAGATAAGGTTGTATTTAAATACACAATCATCTTTATGTATTTGTGTTTTACAGGTTAATATTGTTTGTTTCATTACATCTGTCAATTTGCCATATTTTTACTATGTAGTAAGACTTTATGCTTTGAAATTTGCAATTAATTTGAATTAATGAGGTTTCATTGTACGTCTTATACCCATAGCTTACTCGAAGTCTGTGAGAGCTAGGCTTGAAAAAAAAATTTGCCAAGTTCTCACAGGGCTACAAATCCTTGAAAATTTTCTATATCTCAAAATGTCAGTCTAAACTACACAGCTCGCATGGACAGATTTTATTGCACATCCCTGGAATGTTTCCGGGTGCTGGGGAAAGTATTCTGAAAATCTTGACTACGCATCTTGCATGGAGAGACACACGCCACACGGGTATTTATTTACGCAAACACTACTGTACACGTACAATATATTGTAAATAAAACAAAATAATGTATTCTACTACTGTATTGTACGATAGTATACTCTACTCACCAGCAGATGCCGTCGTCTTGTTTTTGTGATGCAGGCAGGCCAAATGTTGATATGATGATATAGGATGGCCTACTTTGTCCTGTACCAATTATGTGGCAGCTGATCATATACTGTTGCTCTCCTCTCCCTCCATGAAGCAGAGAGGCAAATCAAGAGTGACAAATGTCTTCCATCGCCGACAAAGTGTTGGGTCGTGGTGATGACCAGGCATGTAGTAGTGTTGATGGACAAGGTGATGAAGAGGCATGTGTTCTGGTAAAAGGGGAGGAGGCAGAGGATGTCAGTGGTGGCCATAAAATTCAGGAGGCCATCTAGGTATGTCCTCACCTCTCTGAGACTGGTGGTGGTACTTTCCTCTAGTTTTCCTCTCTGTCGTCCTTATCCTCCTCCTGTCCTTCTCCGTAGGATCTGATGACACCTTTGTATATTTCCTCCTGGGTGAGGGCACCATAGCCAGGATTGTTGGCATCCACCTGCAGCCACTCTCTCACATCCTCCATGGTCACAGCAATGTCACCATTGTCATAGAAAAGTGTGTAGGCCTCTCCCACTTCGAAGCCCTCAAAGTCTGCATCCCCCTGCAGTAAAATAGCTTCTGCGGCGGCAACGCAACCACCACCATTCAGGAGCCTCTTCTACACATTCCTGTGTGTCATCTCCATGATCTTGTCCCAAGCTGCCTTCAGGTTGAACACTGCATCTCGGATGTTGTAGTCCTTGATGTTCTTCAGTGTCTCTAGTCCCCTGGTGTCTTTCTCCCCTCTTTGGCACTGGTTCCACCACCAGAATGTCATTTATGAGGATGCACCTGCAGTGTAGCTTACAGGCTAGAATGATGCCCTGAGGGTAAGCAGGCACATTGTCAAGGATGAGCAAAGCTTTGACCTCTCGCCTAGGAATGTAATTGTCTGACAGCATGTACTCAAATGAATACATGGTGGAACCAGCCTTCAAATATTTCCTGGGTGAACCAGGCTTTTTTGTTGCCACACCAGGACACAGGAAGGCTATCCATTGAATTGTGCAGCACTCTTGACCTCTATGTATTTCCCACCATTATTGGTGTAATTTTGTGGAAGCTAGCAGCATTGGCACAGAACAGCACTGACAGTTGCTGCTCGCTGGCCTTGAGTCCAGGGGTACTGCTCTCCTGCCGGAATGCCACAGTGTTGTTTGGCAGGGACTTCCAATAGAAATCTGTCTCAACCACACTGTATATACATTTCGTACTTCTTGATGTCATCGTCATGGATGAGTTGGTGCCACATAAGCACTAGCACTCTTACCAGCCACTCACTTGCTGCTGATCCCATGCTGCCTGTAAAACTTGTAGTCACCCAAAGCTCCCATGGAAATTGGGCATATCCAGCAGTGTAGAAAATTGCTGAGTGGCATCATGGAGCTCAATGGTGTGAATAGGAACACCAATGGCTCAATGCTGCTTGTACTGTACCAGTTATATATTTCAGCTCTACTTTGTCATATTTTAAGGTGTTTATATGAATATGGGTGAGGCTACTTTCCTCACCTGCACCTAGCATAACTTTCTGTTCTTGCCTCCTGAACTTTTGCTTGGCATGTTTCACATCGTGGATGGTTGACATACCCCCATCCACCTCCTGCATCAACACTTTCACCTACACATTTTTCTCAAGTTTATTGAGAAAGTCCAATTTCTCCTGAAAGGGCAGTCTTTTCATAAGGCCTCTCCTCAACTCCTTGGTGCCCTGGGTTTCTCTGTATCTCTCAACATTGTACATGTACAACAAATTACAGTACTGTACACACAAACACTACACATGAGGCAACAGTACACAACCACTCTCCACTCTGCTATGCTCGGTACTGTATGTACGGTGCTTACACTAACAATGATAAATTACAGTAAAGTATACTGTACACAGTAATCACTGTTTATTTCTTAATACTGCTTTAATACTGTATTCTCGGTTGACTGTGTCTTGGTAGAGTAATGTACAGTACATACTGCACAATGCAAATTTATGCAAAAACAACAGCGAGCGTTGGAACAACCTTGTACAATGGCAGCGAACTATGAACCAAGCTGGGATAAGCATCAGCCTATCAAAGGCATCCCATGCAATCACATGACAGCATTAGCCAGTCGCAGGCTACAAGCCTGCAGCCCAAGTTACCCAACTGGTTAGCCACCCACGCATCTGAAACATGCAGAAGTATCAGAGCATGATGCAATCTTTCGGAAGTCCCAGAAATTTTTTCTCATGCTCGTATTTTATCCGGGAAATGTGTGTGATTCCATCCTGAGAAACTCATTCCCATACCTGGAATGGAGAGATTATTCCAGAAAATGTGCATGATTTCATCTTCAGAAACATGTTTACATTCCTGGAACGGGGTGAGTTTTCGCGGAATTTCCCGGAAGGCTCGAGATCCAATCCAGCTATTGGAGAGTTCTTTACAATGCATCAATATTTATTAATTTGCATTTGAGGAATTTGTCATTACATATTACTTTGAGGTCAGTTTGGAAAATAATTTAGCCTTGTACTCTTGATGTTCACCATGACCAAGGTACATTACCGTCCTTTTAATGAATTAAGTATCATATTTTCAGGTACAATCTTTCATCTGGTGGATCTGCAGTTCGATTTTGGCTGCAGCTTCTTATAGGTATCCCAGAGTGGGTACATGACAGCTCTGTACTCTTTTTACTGGATACCATTTGTCAACAGTCATTCACACACCCGGCTTGCTGGCAAGAAGTTATAAGAGGATTCTCCGAAGTCATGAAAGTAATTCATGAGATTTAAGTATTATTTTATATAAAGTCCTTTTAGTAAAGGAGACAACACTGGAACTTATTATTTTTTTAAGTTAAAAATAATTCTCCTGGAGTGAAAGACTTGGTAAACTTTTGTGTCAACGGTCCATACATCCCTCCTGCATCAACTTCTTCATAAAAAGACTAACTCAAGAACTGCTGAGTAGTGTTTTAAATCCCACCATCAGATATTTGAGTCTTATACTTTATTCTTTGTTATTTAGACCAGGTAATTCAAGTTGATATTGAGCAGTATCATATTTTCAATCTCATGCACTGCTGTTATTTCTGTACAGTAGTGTATATGAAGTACATAATTCACAATTAGCAAAATTAATCGTAGTTTATTTTGTTTGGTTATCTACCGGTATATAAAAATTGTGTGTAAAGCATGTAATACACATAAGCTTGGAAAGTATTGTTTCCCACAAAAAAAAAATTACATTTTTACATTTGGGGACATTTTATTTTTCGTAGAAACTTAACTCCCATTTATATAATGGTAGTCAATGGAAACAATGGCTTCAATTTATGAAAGGTTTCTCAAGAATGTATCTGTTTCATAAATCGAATCACTCCTATATGTATATGTTGTAAATTACAGAACTTTGAAGTTGTAGGGCATCTCACTTCATTATAAGAGGAAATTTCACACTTTTCATTGTAATCTTATCACATATAGTGACAGTCAAGTTTTAATCTCTCCCACTCCAAAAAAATTGCTGGGATATATAAAAGAGTTCCATCCAACTGTCCACAGTACTTGAGTTTTCCCTCAAGAACATAAATCAAAATCACAACAAATACAGAGGTTTCACAAAATTCTGTGTATTGTCAATAAAAATGATACGTCTAAGTCACAATATTATTTCCTTAGCAGACCAGCAGGAAATGAAGATGACTTTGATTTTTTTTTATTCTTAATTGTTCAGTATTTTGTTTAATTTCTGCATGGAAGTAGGTCTTTTTGATTAAGAAGGAGCAGTACCAGTAATTTGTAGTCAGGATGGCAGTGATCCATATTTTTTAGATTTCATATACAGTATTTTATCCAGAAATTCCTGACCTTAATTTACTAAAATTTGAAATTTTTTTGACTTACTCATAATTCTTGATTAGAACCTTGATTATCATTCACTCACACTATTAGTGGATCTTTGCCAATTTGTAGAGAAATTCATATACAGTACAGTACTCTCTTAAGACTAATTGCGATGTCAGCTGTTACAGTATATGTAATCATTAATAGTACAATACACGCAGAAATCATTTGAAAATCCAGCTCATAATCTCCTCCCCGACTTACGACCTACTCGACTTACAACCACCCGCACTTACGACCTGCCTCAGTCGTACCAAAATTTTGTCAAATTACGTGTTATCGAGTCTCAACTTCAGTACACAGACAAAATTTTCGTTTGTAATTCACTTTAAAATGGCTGGCAAGCTTAAAAGTGAAAGTTTTGTGGTGCTGAGAAGAAAAAGAGAAGCCCATTTTAGATTTTCTATGTATTATTTAAGCATTTTCGACTTACGACCTGGATTTGGGTCCCTAACCCCGTCGTAAGTTGGGGAGGAGCTGTACTTAAAAAAAATATTCTTACTCCTTCGTTGTATTTTAATAGTTGCCCCATAGAGTGTTTCCTGTCATATATGGGGTTCTCGTTATAAGTGGTCAAATAATTGTGGACCTACACGTATAAAGTCCCTACAGTTAAGAGGATTCTAAGGCTGAAATCCGTCAGTCTTTGGGGGAACAAGTGATTGACCGATTGAAATTCCCGCCCGTCTCCCCTTCTCTTAAAAGTCATCCTTCTCACCCACACTATTCATGCTCAGTACTGCCTGTGTCCACAGGCATTATTTTGAAGTGCTCCAAGAACTATAATTAACAACTTTGTTGTCTCTGGTGGACTATTTTTGTAGCCATCAGTTCCAAACCAAAGCAAGGTGGTGTAGTGGCTAAAAGGAAGCGCAGTAGCTATGGGATGGATGTGGAATTAGAAGTTACACGTCCTAAGAAAAGTGACGAGCAATTCTCAGTGAACCACTTTCATTGAAATGAGTGCACGAGTCCATGGTTAGGTTGCTTGCGCCCCATCAACAGACCAATCCCAAACGACTTTTATGTCCAGTATACTCTCGATTTAACGGAATCCTTTATTTTTCACTCGATTTATTGAACTCACTAACCCGAGATTAATTCCGTTAATACGCTCACACCTACGGAGACACCTCAGTCACATGATATGTACATAGAAACATTATTCATAGCTTACCTTAAACTAGGATATTTTTTTTTTCTCAAAATTTTTTCCAATTGACAGCCGCACTCTTTTGACTTTCTCCCCCACACCACTTCCTTTCCGAGACTTCTGAGAGACTTTCAGCATGATGTCTAAGCTCCTCCCCGACTTACGACCACCCGCACTTACGACCTGCCTCAGTCGTACCAAAATTTTGTCAAATTACGTATTTTCGAGTCCCAACGTCAGTACACAGGCAAAATTTTTGTTTGTAATTCACTTTAAAATGGCTGTTAAAAGATACCTAATTTAACTTTAGGAGCGTCACTTACATTGTGATGGTCCTAATTAGACCCTATTAATTTTGGGGGGAATTGACTCCTGTTTATAAATGGTTTCATAATCAGTGGCTTTTTTCTGGTCCCTTTTAACCACTTATAGTGAGGACCCCTGTAAAAGGATATGTAAATATTTGAGATGATGAATAATTAAATAAATGTCCAGTACTATATGTAAAAAAAATTTGTAGAAGGGAAATTAGATGTACAAAATAAAATAATTTTGACAAATAAAGGATGATGGAACAATGCTGATATAGACTGACTTTCACATCTAATCTATAGATGGTACAGAACTGTATTAAATGTACTGCCTTCTTTGAATATTTTCAAGGTTCAGTATTCAGTGTTATAATAACTATTTGAAATGTGTTCCAGAGCTCTGAATGTCAACAAAGTGGTGGGGGAGGTGTGATTGGTTTGCTGTCTTGGTTAACAGCAGGAACTACAGCCCCTCACTCCTTGCTGGTACGGCCTTCTGCCCCACAGTTCCCGTGGTTCACGGTGGCTGTCCTCATGCTAGAGACACAGCAGGAGTTATCCTCAGGGCTCTGGAAGAACCTCTTAATAGAATTATTTGCTAAGCCACAAACTACACTTGAAGAAGCTCTTAAGGTAAGATGTCTGGTATTTTGGTTGCAGTTGAATTGCCGAAAATGTGAAGTACAGTGCTCAAATAAATTATCAGTAGATTATATTTTTAACAGATTAAAATTATTATGAAGCTAACTATCAATGTACCCTATCTTACCATCTTTTCCCAATTCAGAAACCAAAAGCCACACACACACACTGTAGGAGATATGGTAGTAAATTTACTTTATATCTTTGAATTGTTTGAGATATCTACAGTGGAAACTATTCATTTATTATCTAGATGTATCCAGCATCTGTTGTTCAAATTTATGGATAATGGGTAGGTGTTCTATTCAGAATTTCTTTCAGAGACTGGTCATTGAAGATTATCTTGCTGGACTGGAGGGTTACAGACCAAAGTGTTTCAGTAATACAATACAAGTTTTTCAGAAGGTTTTAGATGAACCTGTACTGTAATACACCTTATTAATCTTTTTACTTTCCTTCCCATTATTGTGTTGGCAATTCTTTTTTTCCTACATTTCAGTATTGCCTCTTGCTTTCTTCCTTCACTTTTTTCTGAGTTAATTGTTCTTTTCATATTTCATTCTACTCACTTGTTTTATTTATTTTTTATTTTTTTAATAAAAGCAGTGTAGTATGTGATTACACCACTTTAATAAAATCAAGCTACTTTTAAGTCAATTCTTTTTAATACTGTACAGTATAGTCTACCCTTGTCAGATGTGGGAGTTACATTCTTGGAAAATGGCATTTGACAAATTTATTATCTTATGGGAATACTGAATAGAATTAAAGAGAAAATGTTCTTGGACACTATATACAGTGGTTCCTCGGTTAACAAACACAACTTGTTCCACAGAGTCGTTCGTTAACCGATAATTTCGTTAACCAAATCTATTATTTCAAAGTACTGTTTACTGGTAATAGAATTAACAAAATATTAAATATAAACGAAATACAGTACTGTACTATACAGTATACTGTACAATAATAAATAAAAAAGCCGTTTTTTTCTAAAAACCAGTTTTTGTGATATAGCTCTAATGCGACTTCAGCAAATGCAACCTAGGTATGTTAATTCCTAGCTAATTCGCCAGGCCAACATACAGTACTGTACAGGCAATTAAAACATCTAATAATTACTTAATAAGTAATATGAGGAGGACACGTCGCTACCTGGCATTTAATTGCTATTTTCAAAGTCCTTCCTTCATCTCGCCCTTATGTGCAATAGAATACTGTATTTTAACTTACTTTGAGGTGTGTATGTCGTATTACCAGCAGCTTTGTATACAGTATAGTCTCGATTTACGTGGATTTCCTATACACGGTTGGTCATTTACGCGGCACCTGGCCAGACCGGCAATTATTAGTTATGCGGTACATTCCATCATTTACGCGGGAAGCGGTGTGGGCAGGGTGTGCACTAGGTCGCCCAATCAACAAAACATTACCGAGTTCTTCACCCGCCACCCACCACAGCCAGACCAGGTCAGTGATAGTGAGGATATGGACTTTGAGGGGTTTGACAAAGAGGCCCTGCAAGCCTCTGTGGTGGATAGTGATACAAGTGATACAGGTGAGGACCAATAATCTGTCCTCTGCCTCGGAACCAACCCCCATCCCCGTGTGCCCAGCCATCTCTTCTACTAATGTAAGTGTTAAAAAACCTAATATTATTGATATTTCTCTTAAATATTAATTGTGTGTGCATACCATCATAAAATTAAGATGTTATTTTTACTTTAACGTACGTATTGTGTCGGAAAAGGCATAGTCTGGGGGTCGGCACAGTTTCTATTTCAATTAATCCCATATGTTCTGTTATTTCGTTTTCGCGTTTCTCGTTTTACATGGACCTCTACGGGTTTAATTGACCGCGTAAACCGAGACTATACTGTACATATCAAACAGCTGAATGTAGAGGCAGTTGATGATGACGTGCCATATTCCTTACAGAGTGCATTGGTTCTAATGCGTTCTTCATGTTTCATTATAATTTTTGCTCCGTATATTATCAATATGTTAACTAAATTTCAAAATGACCAATAACTTTAATGTAAAAATGCAAAAAATATTCAAGAGACCAACAAAATCGATGTTCACTCCACTGTAAACAAAGTTAAACTGAGAAGTGTTATTGGGTGATTCAATCAGCTGATGGGTGCACAAAAACTGTTTCCTGTACTGTATATATTATCAATACTGTATGTTAACCAAATTTCAGAATGACCAATAATTTTAATATAAAAAATGCAGAAATATTCAGGAGACCAATTTTCTTGATATTTACTTCACTGGAAACTAATGTAAACATAGAACCAATTACTGTATTGGCGGACTAGCCGATCAGCTGATGTGCACAACGAAACGTGTTTGTCGTAAAGATTTCGTTAATCGAACTGAAAATCCTTATGGGAGCTAACTCGTTAACCGAAATTTCGTGAATCGAACCATTCATTAACCGAGGGACCATTGTATTCCAAGAAGCTATACATTTTCTTGTGATAAAATACATGAAATTGAATAAGAATACTGTATTAATAAATCAAATAAGTGTAGAAGCAATAATAATTAATGAAGCCAAAGAATCATAAGTACAATAATTATAATTATTTACATGATTTACCTAATGGCCACCTACTTAACATGCATTATATTTAGGTGTCATTTTAATTAAAGGGTAATAAACAGGAATGATGATGAAATTACCAAGAAAAAGAGATTGATTTTGAACTCTAGCTTATACAGTATATACTATTATTGCATGAGATAGGGTAGCACTGACTTATCAAGGTACAGAACTGCCTGACACAGATGCTTGGTGACAAATGAATTTTGCTCAAGGCCACTTGCAGTGAGGGCACTGCCTTAAAACTTATATATATTGTGGGGATGTTTAGCAACTGATATGTGTGTGTGTCAATGAGTCTGCATACCCAACTAAGCTTTACATGTACTGTACATACAGTACTGTAGATAGAAAGGACATTAATTAGATATGGCCTTTATGCTATTTCCAGAAAGTAAGCGATGATCTAGGCCTTGGGCCAATCTCCTCCAGTCTGCTGAGCATTTACCGTTGGGGTCAGCAAGTAGTGGACTTTCCAGCTGACCATCCTGCCCTCCCAGTCACATTAAAGATGTACTTCACACTACACCTAGCTCATGTTCCTCCACAACCTGGGTTAGTCCTCACTATTATACATCTGTAAATCAAGAATCCCACCTTAAGTTTGATATTTTGTTGTGAGTCTTGTTAGGATCATTGTAATGCAATGAAAAGTCCTCTGTTGAAATGCACTGTAGATTATATGATAAGAAATTGTGGCATACAGTAAATGTTTAACAAAATATCAAGTAGTTAGATATAAAAACTGGCTATGAGAGTGAAAGCTTCCCTTCATATAATAGATGTAAGTCTTCCAGACAGATAAAGAAGATATTAGTTGGTCCAAAAGAGATACTATATAGTATTATGTAAGCAACAGTATACTTACTTCCAACACAAAGATATCCAAAAGTACACATGATGCTATGGTCTAAAGAAGAGAGAGAAGTGTTAGAGATCTGTTTTTTAAAAGACAACTTGATATGAACTTACTGTGATCAAAAACAATGAGAAGTGAGGGTGTAGACAAGCCTGATCCTATAATAATGTGTAGGTTAATGGTCATAGTATGTAGAAAGTGGTCAAGAAATGTGAAGTAAAAATTGCTTCAAGTGTTACAGAAGAATATATTTGCCAAACTGGTAAGATATACAGGTTGAACCTCAGTTTACTGGCATTGACGGGACCTGGACTGTTCCGTTAAATCGAAGTACAGTGGTCCCTCGGTTAACGAGCACAATCCGTTCCAGCATGTTGCTCGTTAACCGAAAAACTCGTTAACCGAAACCATTTGTTTCAATGAGTTTTTGGGTAATTGGTTCCAGCTCACAGAAAATTGCCTAAATTCAACAAAAAATGTAAAAAAGCACACTTACTTTGAGGTGTGTATGTAGAAGGCTCCTGGATGATGATGGTGATGATGGGAATTAGAATGGGGATGGAGGAGAAGGGAGAAGAGAAGGCATTGGGGTGGAAGAGAAGTCACCCCATGGCACCATTTCACCCATAAAATTTTAGTTCTCTTGGTGTAATTCAAGATTATTTTCTTTAAATCAATACTGCTTTGCATTATATATTGTCAATATGTCAAATAAATTTCAAAATGACCAATGTTTACAGGAATCAACATTTGGTTTGAGGAATCTCAAATATCAGTACTCCATGAAGAGAATGACTGTTTGGGGATGGAAACTGGTTTCTTTCGATGAACAATTGTTGACTCATTAAGAACCATTGGAATGATGATGGGTGGGACATGATATCGATGATTGGGCTTCAATTCGGAGGGTTCGTTAACCAGGGTTGAGATCTTGTAGGAGATAACCGAGGGATCACTGTACCTGTATGGGCGGGAGGGCATATCTGACGACACCATTGCACCGAGCATTTTTCGAAATTTTTGTGATTCCCTGATTTCATGTGCTTACAGTTTTCCATTCCCTTTGTGTCACTCTCCACATAGTGCTTCAGGAGTTTATCTTTCTGCTTCTTTAAATCATAAATTGTTGAGGAACAAACACCATAGAGATCACAAAGTTGACGAGCAGACGCTCCACAGTCTAGTTTCTGTAATATTTCAACCTTCTGCACATTGTTCTTATTTTAGTCACTAGCAACTCCAGTAGGGTTTTCAGGTCATTAAGAGGCCATAATTGATGCTAAGAAAGTAGAAATTTAAGGCGTCACATGAGACCAGCACCGGCTGGACTTCAATGCCAACAAACGTTCGCAGTGGCACGGGAACGCCTTTAAATGCGAATTGCCAGTAAATGCACGGTAAAGTTATTATTGATGATGTTAAAAAGGTAACTTATCAGGTTTCTTGCATCTTTGCTTTATCCTTCAGGATTTTTTTGCAGGCAATATGAATGCAGTAGTGTGGTCTCTCGGTTCTATCAGGGGC